TCAGATTCAATTCATCAAAACATTATAATCAATGTTTAATATTTAATATTCTCTTAGTGTAATAATAGTGATATGGCTGCAAATACTGGAAATGCATCTAATGGGAGCACTATTAATGTCGATAACCGATCAAATATCACATACCATATAGAATCGTATATGGTATATAACTCGTATAGAATGAGTAGTTTAATGGGCTTTTATAGCAAAAATGTATAGCCCGTCGACCGATATAATCACCGATTTGGACACCAAGGACATTCCGCTGGATTACCGGACCTGGACAGTCCTATTATACCATACCATACGAGTATAATTCACTCGGTTTTAATTGCAATTAGCGTGATCACTTCCCGTTCTTGCATTGTAAATATTCGTCACTTTTATACAAAAAGTGTTGAAATCATAAGAATTTATTGAATACTACAGTATAGAAATGTATGGCAGAGAATAATAAGTGTTTGTCTACGTGAGGCATATCAGGCACATATAGTTACACAAATATAGTTATTGCATGTATGGCCATGAGTTAGACATTAGATAAATAAAATAAAATATATTTGTTGGCATGCATCAGATTCAAGGTTAGTTGAAAATACTTGAGATTAAAAGGACAGTTCAAATAGCAAAAAATATATTATAATCTAATCAACTATTTTAATATTTTCAACGTGCAAATGAAATGGTATTTAAAGATTATTCGGTTAAATAAACCATTATAGTTGAAAGTATTTTCAAATAGTGCTCATTTTTACACCATTTGATTGATTTCATAAATCTTTTATGGTTTTGTTCTAATTATTATTCAATTCATAGTTTCTTTTCAGTGAGTATATTTCTATTAAATATAAAGTATTGATCAAGCTTCTTCTAGATATCTTTAGCCATCGTTTATTGCGTTTTCAAAGGTGTAATTTAAGAGATATCCTGATCCGTGCTGACAAAATAGGAGCTTCCTTTTGCTTTTTCCAGTGTGCGAACTGAGTGTATTATTGAACTTAGTCACTTGCATTGACTTTAACTTGAGGTAATTATAAAATTTATTCTCTAAATCAATAAAGTGACACAAGTGAATATCAACAGAATGGCTGATAGACTTCCCAATAGATCACAAGATTCTTTATTTAAAGAATGTGTGCTTAGATCAGCTCAAAAAGATATTGAAAGAGGAAGAGGCGCCGTTAATATTGGTGATGTATCAAGTGGTGGTAAAACTACAGTGGCTGCTGGAGAAAAGGGTGCTTTTAATATAGGGACGAACGAAAAGGGTGATATTTCAGTGGATTCAACAAACGGTAATGCTCCAGCTTATAATCTTGGTAATGTCAGCGGTGGTCAAATAAACGTGAGATCAGGTGTACCTCATGGTTTTGGTTGTTGTTGTGAGATCGTTTCTGATGAAAGTGACGATTACTTTAATAATCTGGAAGTGAAGCCCAGAGAAGGGAATATCAGAAAATCAGAAAAGGAAATCTACGACATGTCCAAACCGAATCAGAGAGGTTTATGTATCATCTTCAATATTGTGAAGTTTCCAGGTCATGAAACACGTGATGGATCATCCTACGAGGCGAGATGTCTACAAAAAGTTCATACGCAACTCTCTTGCGAAGTGGATGTTATTAATAGTGATGAAGAGCAAAATGATTGCAAATATCAAGATATTATTAATAAACTTGAACAAACTAGTAAACTTCCAAACAATACATGCTATAATGCTTTATTTGTGTTTTTTTTATCTCATGGTGAATCCAACGGTCTGTGTTGTTCTGATGGCGAAATCCTTCCATTCAATAAGCCAGCCGATATGTTCAATGATAATTCGTCTACGTGGAAGGAAATACCGAAATTTTTTTCTTATCATTGTTGTCGTGGAACCGAATTCGACTATCAAACTACTGACACCAGTCGATCAACCTCGTATGCACATACCCTAATTAATTTTTCGACTCAGTCTGGTATGTAAAACAAATCTGTTTTTCACTTGGTCTACTAGTTCTTAATGCTCTCATTGGTCTCTTATTTATCTTAGGTTATGTATCATGGAGACACACGCAATATGGTACCTATTTTGGTAAAGCGTATTGTTTAAGCGCGTGCGAACATGCTCATGACAAACATTTGCAACAAATACTGGAAGAAGTAAATATTTTATTATTTGTTTATATTCAGATTTTACAACCTTGTTTATTTAATCTATATTTTAATTTATCTAAGGCTTTTAAGAAGCTAAAAGAATATATAAAAGAAAAAGGAAAATATAAGGTAATAAACGGAAGGAGACTTCAACTGGTTCAACAAGCCCAATGTACAGATTACCAATTTAAAAAATTATATCTCAATCCTTGGCATATAACTGAAGATTTTTACAAAATTAAAAATAAACTTGATGAAAATAAATTTTAAAATATAACTGAATATAGAAATCATGAAGAAAATAATGATTTATATCTAATAATTGCAAGTTCTAAAGGTAATAACACACAAAGGAATTAATTTAATCTAGATCATATTTACTGAAATAAACCTTTATAATTGATAATTCCAAAATTAATTGAAAATCTCAACAAAAAAATGATAAATATGGTTATGTTGATACTTGATACCACATGTTTTCAATGCCATGTAACTGCATATATGCTTTATGTGTATTTCCATAGAAGAATCAACAGTTAACCTTTTTGCACTAAAAGTATCGAAAAATACTTTTTAAATGCAATTTTATTAATTTTTAATACTGAATTGTTTTTTAGACAAAACTAAAAATTTTTAATAAAAGCTACGCTTCCATGAATAATCAAAAGATTATTTATTCTTTTTATCATGATTATAGTTTGATTCAATTTTTAGATTGACTTAACTATTTTTCATCAAGTTGTCTTACTTTATCTCTTAATGCTTGGTTTTCTATTCCTAAATCATAAATTTCATACCCATCATTTAAATAGCTCCATTATATACAACAATATTTGCCGTTAATTCACCTTTTTAGCGTAAATTTTTTCCTCATTATCACTGATTATAAATGCTTATCTCTGATTTTCAAGTGTCTTGACATTTGAGAAAAAGTTGTACTACATTCGAACAGTGAAATTGATAATCAATAATACGTAACATTCAATAAAGTCAAAATAATATACGAATTAGGAATAAGACGAACAACCCCTCCGCAAAAACATAACGCTTTTAGGTGTGTGGGGGTAACATATTTGTAACAATGCTGGGGTCGGTCCATTTTAGCTCCGGTGAATCAATTTATAATGTTGTTGTAGGGGAGGGAGGGGTTGTTTTGTATTAATAGTTATTTAAAGCAATTATGATTTATTTTAATTTCATAGTACTGGAATACCACTATTACTTCTATTACTTCATTATAACTCACTTTTAATACAATTAGTTGCAGATTTAATTACTTTGACAACTTTTAATAACTTGTATGTTATTCATATTACATATATCAGCACGTGTTTGATGTTGAGTTTGTGTGAAAGTATACGTAAACATCCCTATATGGCAGTCATATTGCCCGTTATCACCACTACTACTCGTTCATCCTATTACTAATTCGTACAAAATAGTAAAAAATAAAATAGTGTGACTAAGTTCTTACTAGTGTAGTACTGCATATTAATTTCCTATAGACTTATAATGTGTATCCACTATTAATAACATTATCACAACTTATTTTAAACTTCAATCATTGCATTTATTTCAAACGTACGTATAAACCCTATATATCATCCATTTTTGAAGGAGTCAAATCGTTTCAGATACGTCCATTTATAAATAAATATCGCCTAGATGGATCATCCTGATCCGTGCTGACAAAATAGGAGCTTCCTTTTGCTTTTTCCAGTGTGCGAACTGAGTGTATTATTGAACTTAGTCACTTGCATTGACTTTAACTTGAGGTAATTATAAAATTTATTCTCTAAATATTTTAAACTTCAATCATTGCATTTATTTCAAACGTACGTATAAACCCTATATATCATCCATTTTTGAAGGAGTCAAATCGTTTCAGATACGTCCATTTATAAATAAATATCGCCTAGATGGATCATTATTTTAAACTTCAATCATTGCATTTATTTCAAACGTACGTATAAACCCTATATATCATCCATTTTTGAAGGAGTCAAATCGTTTCAGATACGTCCATTTATAAATAAATATCGCCTAGATGGATCAGATTCAATTCATCAAAACATTATAATCAATGTTTAATATTTAATATTCTCTTAGTGTAATAATAGTGATATGGCTGCAAATACTGGAAATGCATCTAATGGGAGCACTATTAATGTCGATAACCAATCAAATATCACATACATTATAAATCCACCAGCAGCAGAACGCTTGCCCGAAACATGGAAGATTCCCCTACAACTCTCCACACCAGATTTTGTGGGACGTACTCAAGAGCTTTTCGCTCTTAATAACTTGTTTAAAACAAGGAAGACCTGCTGCGTCCTAATTTCCGCTATTGGCGGTCAAGGGAAAACATTCCTCGTAAAAAAGTTCATTAAAGAACTTAAGTCATCCATTAATCCTGTCGTAAATTGGTTGAATGGGGAAACCATGGAAACACTTGCCAAAAATATAAGTCAATACATGGAAGAGATTACCCATGAAAGATTACCAATCGTGGATTCAAACAATCAATCCATTACAGCATCATATATCATCGATCATATGATCGAACCCCTTTACAATTTTGCGCATAAGACGACTGAAGATGGCTGGATTGTCGTTATAGACAACGCAGATAAGATATACCCCGAATTTGAGAATATAGTCGACAAGTTTTATGAATACGGTTCTTTCATTATTATTACATCAAGGGAAACAGAAATACTTAAAGAGGTGGAACATATACCTCTCCAAGGTTTAGAACCCGATGCTGCATCATCACTGGTTAAACTACTACTTGCATCATCACTGGTTAAACTTCCGGAGACGAATGAAACGGACATTTTGCAGTTATGTAAGGAACTTGAAAATTACCCGCTGGGTATACGACAGGCTGTAGCCTACATAAAATTGCAGGAAATTGAGTCCCTATATTCAAAATATGGTGTGAACGACTTTATTCTTGACTTGAAAAATGCGATTACTAAGGTGGTATCCGAAAACAAAGTACGGGGCTATAACAGATCAATTTTAGCGATCGTGGATTTGACTCTGGAGAAGATTAAAAGCGACAAAAATGGGGCCGGTGCCATAAAGGTGTTGAAGATACTATCCTTAGTAAACGCAGATGGTGTAACGATTGACCACCTTGGCTGGTTAGTTAAAAACTGTTTCAAAATTGAGCACATGGAACCTCCACTTCTCCTTTTAAAGAAAATCTGCTTCGTGGAAGTCTCTACGTCGGAAGAGTCAAGCATTTCTATCATTTCTATCCACAGAGTTGTCCAAACTATAGTTCGGGACAAAATGAAAGCTAAAAAGGAAGTTGAACAATTGCTGGACAAGCTACTAGGCTGTCATGAATACTTGCTAGTTAGATCCCTTATCTCGTCGCTAGATAGAAATCAAATCCTGCACTTGACGCAGATTTGGCAGCATTCCTTTAAGTATTGTAATCTGGTGAAAGATTATAGTGACATGGCAACAGATATTTTTAACAGGCTCCTCAATCTCACGCTATATCCAGAACTTCGCCAGTTTACAGAAGGCATTGCTGGGGTGCTCCCCCGCACTTCCAGTCAGGAGGAAATAAAAACTCTTTGGATGGAGTACTGTGCTTGTCTGGGCTTAGAGACTACTGGAGAATATGACAAAGCATTAGAACAATACGAAATCATACGGAAGAAGCAAGTAGAACACGCTGGTCAGTATCATCCACATACGCTACTCACTCAGGAACAAATAGCTTCTACTCTCTGCAGAATGAAGAAATGGAATGAATCACTTACAAAACATCGTGAGGTTTACTCCCTAATGCTGAAACACCTTCCGAAAGACCATTCCCACACGAGAATCACACAGCACAATATTGCGATCTGTTTAAAAGAAATGGGCGAGTTTGATGAAGCTCTACTCCTCTTTCAAGATGTGTACGACTTTAGAAAAAAAAGCTACGGCGCCACTAGTTCTTGGACGTTAGACACGAGAAGTCATATTGCTGATATCTGGTTCCAAAAGAAGGAGTTTGAAAAGGCAAAATTAGAGTATGAGGAGGTATACAACCTTTCCAAAACTGAGGAAGGTGAGCTTCATGAAAATACAATAAAGGCCATGAAAATGCTGGAAAAGTGCCGGGAGCAGGAAGGTTAAAAAACCTGTGCGGAATTGTATGAAAAGGCACTGAGTTTGGAACACCCCACAACTATAGTGATTCAAAACCTTCACAAACAATGCAATTCACAAATTTGTTAACGAACTGCAATACACTACAACAAACCACAGTTAAATTAATGGAAAATGCTTTTCCTAATTAAATATTTGATTTTAACCACCTTGTCTTGCTCTAACGTTCCTTTATTCAGCATTATAGTTTGAAATAAATAATCTTTAAATTTAATTAACACACATTGATATATACTGCAACGGTTCTACCCCAAAAGGCCTAAAACCCAAAACGCCTAAACCCCAAAAGGCCTAAAACCGAAAAGGCCTAAACTCAAATAACTAACTGACCAGTGGACATATTTTTAATTTGATTAGTGGAATAGACGTGTCTTGACCTAACCTAACCAAACCTAACCAAAATTGAGTCAAATGACCATTAGTCAGTAAGTTATTCAAGTTTAGGCCTTTTGGGGTTTAGACCTTTTAGGCTTTAGGCCTTTTAGGTTTTAGGCCTTTTGGGTGAGTCCCACTGCAACTTAATTAATATTACATGTATTAAATTTTGATACTAAATTTCTGCGACATGTTAGTTTGACTAACTTTAACCTTACACGGGAGATTAAAAATGCAGTACTAGCCACCATACTCTGTAACAAAGCTGATTAGCTTTATGGAGTTACGTTAGATTAGAGTAAATATACTCAATATGGGTGAAGGATTTTCAAGAAGTGATTCCAGCTAGCTATCATTGGAATAAATTACTCAAACTGTAAGCAAAGGATTAGATTTATATTTGCCAAAAACTGATTCAGAATTAACAATTATTGCAGAACCTCTGCATTTACATTAATTACAAATAGTACATATACAAGAGTAGATAATATTGA